GTGTAGTCTTCAATATAATCACCCCCACCTTTCCTCCTTTCCTCATCACTCTCTGCCTCTCTCTTTCTCTCTCTCTCTCTCTCCCTCTCCTTCTCTCTCTTTACGTCTTTCTGTTTCTCTCTCTCTCTGCACGTCTCTCTCTCTCTCTCTCTGCCTCTATCTTTGTCTCTGCCTCTCTCTTTCTCAGTCTGTCTGTCTTTCTCTTTCTACCCTCCCTCCATTTTCCCTTCTCCTCCCCTCCCCTCCCTCTCTTTTTCTCTACCTCCCTTTCTTCCTCCTTATCTCTCCTTCTCCCACCCCCTCTCTCTCACGACGAATCCTCCAATGACAAAAGGATGTCATAAAAAGGACACTTCACTGAAGGGCATTGCAACTGCATCATGCTGGGCAATGATGCAGCTGAGTGAATTGTAGGCAGTTTTTTTTTTGTCTTTATTCTTGTCTATCTCTTTCGTCCTTTTTCTGTCTTGTCTCCTCTCTTATTACGTATTCGTCGTCAAGAAGTTTCCGAGTTGGGGAGGTAGTAGACAAAACAAAAAAGAAAAGAAAAAAAATACAATACTGTATTCATCTAAAGAGGTTATTGGTTGGGTTGAAGGGTTTGTCTCGTATTTTTTCTTCATCCTTTTTCCTCTCTCTCTCTTTCTTTTCTTCCTGACTTTTTTTTTTCTTTTTATTCCCTATTTGCATCTCTTCCTTTCTTCTCTCCTCTTTCTTTAAAGTTCGAAATCTGAGCCTGTTTATAAATAAACAAATAAATAGAATAGAATAGAATAAAATAAAATAAAATAACATAATATAAAATAAAGATAAAATAAAATAAAATAAAATGAAATGAAATAATATAAAATAAAAATAAAATAAAACAACTTCAAAATGTAATAATAAAAATAAAATAATATAAAATAAAAATAAAATAAAACAACTTCAAAATGTAATAATAAAAAATAAAAGTGGGAGGATTCTTGCTTTTGTTGGAAGATTCTATTCCTAAAATACTTCTAAAAGGTTCCAGTACTTTGAAATGCCCTGAAATGATTTAAGAATATTCCGCCATTGTTCTTCGGTAAATTCGTGTATAAAAAAAAAAACTAAATTATTTTTCGAAAAAAATCAAATTCTCTTCGGCAACTTTCAGTCTAAGGAGAAATCTTACTAAATTGTTCCACGAAAAAAAGTTCTTTGACAAGTTTCAATGCTCCCTCCTCCCCCCTAAAAATATATATAAAATGTTCTTCTGAAAAAAATCGGTTCTTTGATAAGTTCTAATCTAAAAATAAATGTTCCTAAATAACTCTCGTTGCCGCCCTTCCAGCATGCGCAAGATCATGACCGTGAAGACCATGAAAGAGTTCAAGAAATCCATGGACTTCTACAAGTTCCTCATCGTCCGCGAGCCTCTGGAGAGACTCTTGTCGGCGTACAGGGACCGCATCGAAGACACTTCTCACCGCTCGTGGCAGAGAGACAACTACGTGCCGAAAATACTCAAGGTTACGAGACCCCATCTGAAGGTATGGGGTTGCCGGTTGCAGTGTTTTTTTTTTTTTTTTTTTTTTTTTTTTTTTTTTTTTTGATTGGTTGTGTGTTTTATTTGTTTAGTTATTTACTCGATTTATCTTTCTTTTTTTTCGCTTTTTTTTCTCTTTCTCGCTTTTTCTCTTTCTCTTTCTTTCTCTCTCTCTCTCTCACTCTTTCCATCTCTCTCTCTCTCTCTCTCTCTCTCTCTCTCTCTCTCTCTCTCTCTCTCTCTCTCTCTCTCTCTCTCTCCTTTCCAAATCTTCATTCCCTCATTTAAACACCCTCAATTTACCCTCATGTCAACACCTTTGTCCCATCCTCACTTCATTGCTCATTCTCCCCTCACTTCAACACTCTCAACCCTCCCTCACCCTCATTCCGGCCGTACCCTTACCCATCCACATGCCACTCTCATCCTACCCTCACCCACTCATTCCACCGTCACCCCCCTCCCCCTCACCCCCTCCCTCTCCTCATCCACTCATTCCACCGTCACCCACCCCTTCCCTCCCCCTCACCCTCCCTCTCCTCGCCCCTTCATTCCACCGTCACCCACCCCTTCCTTCCCCCTCACCCCCCCTCTCCTCACCCACTCATTCCACCGTCACCCACCCCTTCCCTCCCCCTCACCCCCCCTCCCCTCACCCACTCATTCCCCCCCGACAGAGCGCCGACATCAGAGTCAACGGGACCCTCGTCGTCATCCCCACCTTCAGGGAGTTCGTGGAGTACCTGCTGGTGACGCCCATAGGGAACTACGACCCCCACTGGCGCCCTTACTGGAAGCACTGCGCCCCCTGCGTCGTCTCCTTCCAGGCCATCGGCAGGGCGGAGACGCAGGCGCAGGATATCCGCTTCATCCTGGAGGACTCCGGCCTGGCGAGGGAGATCGATAATACGGTGGGTGGTTTGTGATGGTTGGGGAAGGGGGGGGGTGCGGTTCCTGTGGGTTCTGAGGTTGTGGTCGTGGGGTTGTGGG